AAATTTCACAACCAAACTGATATCACCCACTAATCAAGTGTCAGGTATCATACTTTAATGAATAGAAGTCTATTTGCTGAAAGGGTTGTCCCAAGTACACTAGCTTCATGATTCATTCCCAATAATACACGAATACTGGACGGAAGAATATAACTAATTAAAATATGGCTGGTGTTTCACTAAAATAACCCCCAAATATTTTAATACAGGCAAACAAAAATACCAAACTTACAGACAGGGTGGTGGTATAATGAAATTTCTTTGAAAGTACTATAGTATTCTTGATGTCATGAATTTTGGTACTGGCATCTTCTGACCAGAAATTTAGAAAGCACACTTTTCAGAACAAATCATATTCTTACTCAGGGCTCAATTAATTTAGCCTTCTACATGACTCAGTAAGAGCAGCTGTATTCAGACAAAATGATGTAATATTAAAATACTTGTTGCAGTAAATGAACAGACAAATCTATTTGTGCCATTACTAGAATTCAGAAATATATGAGCTGGATATGCAGATGCAACATTGAAAGCTTATCGCTATTTCTATGGCTGCACTCTTTATTTCTACAACTTCAAAACTTTCAAGCTAGGATAAATCTATGCTACATACACAGAGTTGAATCAGACATTTCTTTTGTATTCCATTTGTCAAGAGGAAGTTTTGGTCAAACTGGTTTTTACAAAGAACAGCCAGGATACTTTTATTGACTGAACTTTAGTGAAAATGTATGTATATCAATAAGTCTGTAGCCTCATGATTAAAAAGGCATTTATTCCTTTTAATTACCATCTTATACTGAATACTAATATTTTGTAGCAACTTAACCATATGGATATCAATAAGACCATAGCCTTTGATGGAAAAGGAAATGATATTTTTCAATATCCCTTGCACTTCATATATTGGTGAACATTACTCAAAAACATTCTATAGCAGAAATAATAATTATATTGCAGGACAACTGATCCACTCTTCTAAGTTGGTTGAATGGATTGGTTACTTATTTTGAACAAATAATCAAGTACTTAATACCAAATAACCAAACAAAGTCATCAGCATAAGTGTAAATTTCCACAAGGATTCATTTTAATACAAGCAGACTATTGAAGTTCGAACAATCTCTTAGATACAAGTAAATTACAGATTACCTGGAAGACTATATCTATCTACAATGAACTTAACAAATTTTATATTTCTTATCCAACTGCAAAACTAAAGAATGCTATACTTTATAAGGTGTTAAGTATCACTCACTTTTAATGACATGTTAGAGGCAGCAAATTCTAGCAAGTCTTTTCAAACATTTATCAAAGAATTTAATATAAGAAATATCTAAGTTTCAAACAGTCCTAATGCTTTAAAGATATATATGCTGTGCCTAATTAGTGAGTCAGAGGTCAATTATTAAATTATTCTTAGATTTATGCTGCATTTCAGTTAAAGGTTATTCATTTAGAAATCTTTCACGAACCAAAGGTAGCAGAAAATTGATTATATAAATATTTTTTTTCTCATCTGTTTCTTCACAATTACTGATTTTGAAGTTGCTATGATTTATGTTCCTTTGTGTCTTTTTTTTTAAATTTTTTAAGAACAGACAGGACTGTCAAAAAATAAAATAATAAAAATAAAATATCCAAACATCCATTTTGCAAAAAATCTGCATCAAAAAGAGTTCTGGTTATGAATTGTATGAATGGAAATGATTGTAGAGAAAAATAATTCTAAGAGAGGGACATCTGGTGGAAGATTTTCAGGTTAGAGGGAAATTTTGGAAGAAAAAAAGTTATCAATAAATAAATAAAAAGAAAAAAAATTGGCTGAGCCAAAATAAGGACAGGAAAAGAATGAATTTCAAGACAACATTCCCCCCCCCCAATCTAAACTAAAACCAAGTAATAATTTATTGATTAGAATTTTAAGCATGTTCAGGAAAAAATCATGAAACTTATAGAAATAATGAGTTAAAATGAAATAAAATGGGATATTGGGTGATAGAATGGACAGAAGAGTCACAGTTTGTGAAGGTTGAAGGGTGATAATAGCCAAGGGAATGGGAGGGAAAAATACAAATGTTTCAAAAAAATGAAAAAGAAGAACAGTGGGGGGGGGTAAATAAATGGATAAAATTTAAGAAATCTGGAAGAAAATGTAATTTGTTTTTCATTAATTTAGCCTGAATCTTCCAAGGACAAAAATCAATGTACAAAAGAAAAAAAAAATTATGAAAGGAATATTTGGTGACAAAAAGAATCTTTAAAAAGGACAAACCAAAATCAACGATTTAAAGCATTTGCTGACTTTTAATGCCTATTTGTCATAGGCTTCTGCCAGACAAAACTACATAATATTTTTTGTCATCTTGAATTTGATAAGAGGTTTTAAAATAACTTTTGCATCATTAATAAACAATTTTTTTATTTATAAGGAAATGTACTTAAATTTGCTAGAACACAACATATGTACACAGAGTCAACTCATTCCCATTATGTTCCATTGGTAAAGAAGTTTCCACTCAAACAGCTTCTTCTCCAAAACTGTTACTCTGTGAAGCAAACTCCTGAGAGGATGTTTCCCTGATCAGTATGGTCTAAGTGTCAACTGTTATTTATCCCACTGTAATGAATAGACAATACCAAATATCAACTTCAGAAGCTTTATTCCGTTAAAATGAAATAAACTCTTAGTAATTAGATAGTGTTTATTCAAAGTGGTTAGTAATGAAATGGGTAGATCAGCATAAAGCATTATCACCCACATATCCTCATAATATACACTTTCTCCCTTTATGCCCTTACTACAATCTTATTCAATAAGCCTCTACCTTAAGTAGCTCTTGAGCCTTGTGTTAGGTGAACAGTAATATTAAAAAAAAATCCATTGCTGATGTCAGTGTGACATAAGCAATTCCAAAAATAAATAAAATTAAACAAAAACTTAACGTTTTAATTTTTTTTTTTCTATTTATGGAATTCATGGTTACAAGATTTAAGCAACTTGTATACTAGGTATTGAATTATTTGAATACTAGGTCAAAAACTAAAGTTGTTTATTGTTCTCTCACTGGTCTATCGCTACTACCATGGAAAATGCTTGGACGAACTGCATCACCTGCTTCCACCAGGTCACAACTTCACACCTAGGACCTACCATACCACATTCCCTCTGCATTCCATCAGTGAGAAGTAAGTTCTAATCAAACAGCTTCTTCCTGCAAACCACTGCCTTATTGAACAGACTACCAAGAGTATGTTTCCCTGATCATTATAATCCTAACCTGTCCAAGTCTAGAGTTATCTTTCCCTCCTATTCATAGCCTGGTACAGAGTGAACCTTAGTGTATATATATAAAAAAAAAAAAAAAAAAAAAAAAAAAAAAAAAAAAAAAGAAAAAAGAAAAAAAGAAGTCAATCTTAATACAAAAAAGTCCAAAGGTTTGGGTGGGCATTTGGCTCCCTTCTCAAGAATAATCAATACAAAGAATGTTTCCGAAATATTTTCACCAATTGATGCTATAAAAAAAGCATAAGTGTTAATTATTAAATGTCTACAACAAATTCTGTTTTTTTTTTCAGAAGTGACAAGAGAAATTAACCTGAAATTGAAGTGTGGCATGCTAGTTAACTGAGAAAACAATTAAAAAATAGTGAATATTTTAAACCAAAGCTGCTTATGTACTAATTTTATTGGAAAAGGCATGAACCCACTTCTCCCTACTCTGCTCCTTCACATACATCTTAAGATAATCAAGAACAAAAATGACTTGACAGGAGCTGGTAAGTGTGCACAGATGTTTCAAATTCGAGCTGAACATCAATTATTAAGTTTTCATTCAAAAGTGTATCTTTCACACTTTATACAGTTAAGCTGTCTGGAATACTTTGCAATGGATGGAGACAGAAATAAATCCAGGGTAATTTTATTTTTGGGGGTGGTGATGGAGATGCAGGGTAGCACATCTGTTATCATCAAACTAAATTAAAATTTTGGTAAGAACCCTTTTGTGCTGTTGATTTCTCATTAATGCCTTTGAGAAAGGTATGGATCCACTTCAGTCCCCCCCCCAACCCACTATGGGTAATTAGCAAGAGTATTTGAAAACCTTTAGGCAGTCCAACTATGAAAAAGTTAATCTGACAAAAACAGAAAAAGAAAAACTATCAGGCTTAGATAAAGGAGAGTTGGGTGTGTTGTCAAATCCTCCCTGCAAAAAAAAACAAAAAAAAAAAACAACTTGTTACTGAAACTACACAGATGTAGCTTGGTGTATTATAGAAACTTCCAAGAACCAAAGATGAAGAAAATTATGTTAATCATAACGTTTTTTTGTTATTTTTGTGAATTTGTTTACAGAATTTCATGAGAGAATGGATTAAAAAAAAAAAAAAGTTATTGTAATATTAACAGCACACTTCATGCTGTTAAATTATCCAAACAAAACTTTGAATGTTAATAACTGTTATTGAAAATATTTGATTATTCCTACACTTATTCTCATGATACAAAAAAATGTTTTAAATGTTAATTTGACTTGTAGACCAAAAAGACTAATTATAAGGGGATTATGATTTCATATGAAAAAAAAAAAAAAAAAAAAAAAAAACTTGACAGCACCAAAAGAAAAACACTTTGATATAAAAGCAAAATGTAATTGGACAATTTAGATTCAAATTTTTACCAGAAACAAAGAAAATGGTCTATCTCTCCAATTTTTGATGAAAGATTGTTTTTAATATATGCTATATTTATAAGAGACAAGTATTCAATATCAGAGACAGAGCATATATAAATATAAACAGTGTGGACATAGGTATAACCAGTGAAAAGCAACAGTGTTTTATGCTTAAACAATAATCAGGCTATGTGTGGAAGAGTAGCTTGATGTTTGTTACTAAAGGATTACAAATAGTAAGTTTAGTTACTTCTAGTTTATTCAATAGCTATTAAATTATTAAATAGGACTAATTATAGGCAGGAAATGGTCATGGGATGCTTCAAGGAGTATTATGCTGGTAAAAAAAATTAAATTATACAATGAAAAGCAGCAAATAGCCAGTGCAAAGTTGCTCATATGAGCAATAATTTTTTACTTACATGATAACAAAAGGAATTATACAGCCTATGTCAGTCCTGTCACCAGTTACATGGCCATTTTATACAAAGATAATGACAGCAATATTTAATTTTTACACAACTGAAGTAAAAAGAAAGCGATGTACAAGACAAAAGGAAAAGAAACATGGTCGCTCATCAAAATTTCTTGTTCTCTCCTTGCTTTCTCCTGACCAATCAAATGTGTGTTAACTCTACTTAGATAAATCAATCTCAACTGGTCAATGTGAGGCTCAAGTTCAAATTGCTCCAAAATCAAGTCTGCTTTTGGCTACAAACAATGCATGTTGCCACATGAATTCTTTTCATGGCAGGCAAGCAACTCCTTCTCTTGGCAACTCCTTCATTACAATAGCCTTTTACAGTACATGATCAGTATCTCAACCTATCTTGTAAAAGATAAAAACATTTTGAATTATTTATAGAACTGCTCAAACATAGATTTATACTATTCCTAAAGGTACCAAGTAGTACTATACTGAATACTAGGTTTCAAACTATTTTATCAACTTCACAATTAAAATACAAGTTCTTACTATCTTACCAGAGACTATGGTGATTAGATGTCTGAGTACTGTACTCATAAATTAGTACAGTGAGTTAAAAACAAAACTAGCAATTTTACATTGAACAATGTAATAAGACATATTTAGACTTTAAAATTACAATCTGATCTGATGCATGTTTGTCTGATGGTTTCCACAATGTGGTTGAGTAAAAGGCAGTGAATAGAATGCAACATTTTTCAGCAGGATTATTACAGATTATGCAAGTATCTCTACTTCATTGTTTAAAGCTGATGTAAGAACACTGGTATGTGCAGCAAGGAGGAGGAAGAGGCAGTTGCAATTCAAGAGATCAATAAAACAGACTGCATTGCTATTAATTGTATTCCTTTCCCAAGTTAGAAGAATTATTTGATACTTTCAGAAAGATTTCCATTATTTTTCATTTCTTATAAAGAATCATGATGTGTGCATGTAGGGAGAGCTTATCTGCCACAATGGTGACTGTTGGTATGTGAGGCAGCAGATTCCAGCCAAATGGCATTTACAAAAATAAAAAACCCAAAGAATTTGAAATGAAGAACAAAAATGAATCTGAGATTATTATATATATATATATATATATATATATATATATATATATATATAACCATATAAAGTTTGTCACTTAGCAAATTCATGTTACATTCAGGACCCTCCTGCAGTCACTCCATCCACTTGTATATCTCTCATTATATATATATATATATATATATATATATATATATATATATATCCCTCTCTTACTATATATTATAGATCTTATATTGCAATTGGCATAACAATGATTGATAGAGAGATACATTACTAATGAGAGGGATAAAGTTATATTAGAAAGGCTGAAAAGAGGGAGAAATATGCAAACAATCAGAAAAAGTGAAAGAAACTAACACAATAGAGAAAATTTAGAGTTTCTCTAGACAACATAATTGGCAAAAAATGTACACAAAACAAGAAATGGATATGAATGGACCTAAAGCACCTTTTTGGCCTGCAATGTTGTCTATATTAAAAAATATCTGTGGTTGACAGATTTGTTTTTGATAGTATCAAGAATTATTGACATTCCCTCCCTACACCTTAGCCAATTCCCCACCCAGCCTTTAAAATACCTGCTGTCAATTTGTAGCTGAACAAGATTCATTTTCTTGAATCAAACAGAAAAATAAACAATAAGAAAAATATGTAAAGAAGAATGTTGATAACATTCCATTCAGAATGCTTCTGTTTGCAGATGGATGTGCGATAACCAAATCTTATTTGTTTAATCTGAAAATCAATCAGTCTTAGTATGATAAGTGAACAAAAATAGAGAAGAAAGAAAATGGATGAACCACCAACAGGGGTGAGAGAAATGAAGGCAAATGGAAAGATAGTAAAGTAAAATTAAATCATGTTTTTTTTTTTCCTAAAACAACTGGCAACTTTAGGGGTCAGTATATGCAAGACTGATATTTTATAGTTGGCTGGAATTGCAAGGCTTGGACTTTAAACAAAATGCAGGCAAAGATAAACTTATTTTACCAAAATAAAGAAAATGGGTTTACTATATTTGAAAGGTTTCTGAAACCTTTTTATGTTGACAGATTTTGTTGAATTAATAGTGATATAATCAACATCATTTTGCTGCATTTTATAATTTGAAAAAAGAAAAAAATCTAAAATGTATTTTTACTTGCATTGACAAAAGAGAAGGGAGGTTGTGATATGAAGAAGAAAAAAAGAGCAAAACAAAAAAAAAGAAAAGAAAAAAAGAGCAAAACAAAAAAAGTAAAGGAGGAGAGTGCAGTATGAAGAAGAAGAAAAAAGAGCAAAACAAAAAAAGGAAAGTGAGGAGAGAGTGCAGTATGAAGAAGAAGAAAAAAAAGAAAAAACAAAAAAAGGAAAGTGAGGAGAGAGTGCAGTATGAAGAAGAAGAAAAAAAGAGCAAAACAAAAAAGGAAAGTGAGGAGAGAGTGCAGTATGAAGAAGAAGAAAAAAAGAGCAAAACAAAAAAGGAAAGTGAGGAGAGAGTGTAGTATGAAGAAGAAAACCAAACAAAGCAAAAAATAAAACTGCAGATACAAAAAAAAATTCAAACAAACAAAAAAAAAAAAAAAAACTTTACCATTCAATATTTTTTTGTTATGAGTTTTGAAAATAATATGTCTTGCAAATATTTTGGAGGAGAAGTGAGATAGGAATAAATAATATTTTTAAGGAAAAAAGGAAAAAAAAAAAAAAAGGAAAAAAAAGCATTTGTCTCAAAATTTGTTTCAGTCTTGAATCTTAACCAGAAAAAAAGGTTATTTAAGTTGAGAAGATAATCACTAAGAAAATCGAGCAGATGAACTATAATGTTTAAAGCAAAAACCAATGGCAGAAGGATTTCTATTTTGAGTGATCACAAGTTTTCAGACTAAATCAGAATGGTATGTTTATTGACAGTGATTAATTTATTTGGTTATGACTGAAAAGACAAGAATGACTTGGAGAGAGGGCACATGGATGGAAGACTTGCAGAGAGGGTGCATGGACAGGAGAATTCTAGCTGATAGACTGAACAGTGATATAAGAAGAATTTAACCTTACAGATAGAAGAGTTTGGTTCAAAATTTCCTAAAGCGTATCAATTATATCTAAGGAATTGTGCTGGAGAATTACCTCAGAGGTCCAAAAGGGACCGAATGGTGTAGCCTAAATTTGCACATGAGCAAATTGTGAGTGAGGTGAACCATACAAGCATCAACACTGGAATGGCACAGTGTATGCATTACTGAGCCAAACTGAGGCTGGCAGTTTATGCAAGATGCTAATTTTCTGGCTTGGGAAAAATGCATAAAAGAATCAAGTGTTAGGAGGACAGTAAACATTTGTGCTCAATGCAAGCGAAAACAATGTTTTTCGGTGTGTACTAAACAAGAATCCCTAGCATGTGTTGTTCCAGTTTCTATGCTACAGAAAAAACATTTCCTGCTACAGAATTAAACAATACATATCAGAAATAGATATATTTATTTTTAACTTCAATTCCAGGGCTAAGAGTAAGGTTATAGGTTTTCACTTTTGCAGGGATTAGGAGTTTGGTTTACAACATGTAAATATAAATATGGAGTTAGGAGAAAAATATCTGAGCTGCTGATTTGTATACAGCAAATGAGAGCATATAAAAATTCTACAGGTAAAAAACTGCAACAAGCCACGTGGCAGAGCATTTTCTCTCCTGTAAGTATTCCTCTCTCCCACTTAAAAAAAAAAAAAAAAAAATCCTTATAACTTGTGCCTACTACTGAATCTGACTTAGGGATTGCATTCTGCCACATTTGGGTAGCTTAATACTTACTGTTATCAATACAGATGCTGCTAGTTGCAAACCAAGCAGGTACACTAGAGTCACAACTGCATAAACATGATGAATGCTTATGCAAATTACATCAAAAATATATTTTTTTTTTTGCTAAATAATGCACTATAATAAAAATAATCTTATAAATTATATAATGAAAAATCAAGAAAGAAACATGTCTACATTAACAGGTATGTATATATGTATATATTTACTTATGTGTGCTACTGGTATGATAGACAATGAGGAGGAATGAGAAATCTGAGAGTCAAGTTCAAATTCAAGTAGAGTTTGTTCACTTATGTGCAAATAGCCTTGGGGAAAGATGAATCCATCTCTTCTCCCCAGCTATGGGTTAAATAGCAGCATTGAGAGATCTCTAGCCATGGTTTGCAACCAGTCTAGAAGGACAACTGAATTCTAAACCCTAACCATGGAGTTAACTTGTCAGCAATGGTCATATTTGTCTAAAGAGATGATAGTATGTGCATGTGCTTTCTCACACACACAAAGATGATACACAACCATATTGGTATATATGTCATGGAGCTTAGAAAAAAAAAAAAGGTTGACAAAAATTTCAGAAGTATAAATCTATACACAAATGGGTAGGAATGGTGATCTGCTGAGAATTGTGTAAATATTTTGAACAAAACAAAAATGGCTGTGTTGAATGACACTAAGTAGTGATTTGTCACAATTATTTTTGAATGATGGAAAGAAACAATTGTTTTAACAAATGTGAAATTTTTATAAGGCCTAGCTAATACCCAAGATGGACAATATTACAAAGGTAAAGGGCTCCAATTGTCTTCCTATTTATCCATTTCTGAGAAGAGAGGTAGGTTCATGCCTTTACCAAGGACACGAGTTCAAAGTGAATGTACACTGCTTTAGCTCAAGCCTGGTTCACTGATGATTATTGCTGCTGTTAACTATAAACTTACAATTTATCTGAGAATATACAATTACAGGGCTGAAATTGAAGTGGATTGCTACCCAGTCAAGACCAAGAAATAAAAACCTTTTAAAAAAACAAAATGGTAGTTTCCCTAGCAGAACATACAAAAGAAAAAAAAAGGCATCATTTACAAAAAAAGAAACAGAGTTGGTTGCATTCAATTTGAGAATAGAAGTACAATCATATCTACACTATTTACACTCAGACTATTGTCTCCATCTTTGCTGTTATCAAACTTGATGAAGGTCAGCAGACAACGGTTGAAACATTGTGATAACAACAAAGACAAGGATAATAGTTTGAATGTAAATAGCGTAAAAAATGATAACCCCTCATCCCAGAAATTCAGACACAATCACATCAGTAAAATATCTCATCAGCCACTCCAGAACCACCAATGCCTTCATTTACAAGCTATCTTAAATTACTGATATCCTACTGGATTAATAAAACCCAGTATGAGGAAATTTATTGTGAAATATTACATCAGCCACGCCATAAAAATTATTACTTTCACCACCTATAGCAAAAGATGCCTTACAAAAAGCTAAGCAAAGTATTAAGAAACAGGAAAATACTGTTAGAAAAAAGAAAATACTGAACTTATGTGATATCAGTCCTCTTATATGGCAGCGAATGCCAGACAATCTCCTCAGAGCTGAAGAGACTTGAAGCATGAAAAATTTAGTTCTACAGATAGATGCTGAGAATACCATGGATCAAACATGTGAAAAATGACAAAGTCTTAGAGAAAATGGAAACAAAGAGGAGTTATACTTATCAGGAAGTGATAGTTGAAATTTCTAGAGCACATAATGAGGAAATAGGGCTTGGAAAATTTGATACTCACAGGACAGACTGAAAGCAAAAGGGACAGAGGTAAAAAATGCCTAACCTACCTAGTGAGCTTGAGTAAATAGATAGCAGAACAGGCTTTAGGAGAGCAAATAAAGACAAAATTTATTAAGAGCTACAAAGGACAGAAAATTGTAGGGCCATGATTTTCAATATCTTGAAGGAACACAGCACATAGAAGTGTCTTCAATCCAAGCCAATGTTTTTGTGGTAATTCATACCTTCCATTAAAACAAAGTAAACCACCAATCTAAAAACTAGATTCATGTTCTTCATATGGATGTCCTCCATGACATCAAACTCATTCAGTATATAGCTACTTTCTCAAATCAATGATCAAAAATGTTTTTTCAGTGAATAAGCCTGTAGGTTTTAGCAAGGACTTCTTCAAAAATTGTGGATTGGCATGACAGATCACAAAGAACTGTACCAAATAACATAAACCATATCACTTGAGGACTTTCAGTGACAACAACTAAAATAGACTTCATATGTAACTCAGAGAAAATAATGACATAATCAAGAGGTTAACATTCCACACTACTTCAAACAAAAGGTTAGGAAGGAAATCCCCATCAATACTGGAAAGAGTGTAGTTTAAATAAGTCTGTATTGCTACATTATCACTTGTACAAATCAAGATACCACTGGTTCAATTTGCCGTTCTTGCTTTCTGAACACATCACAATGTATATCAGTCTTTTCTTCTGCCATTTTCACTGCTTCAGCCCTTTTTTATCAGGCCAACACTGTGATCAACCAACCAATCTGCATTCTTCACTTTTATTCTCAGTTACCCAGGCAAATAGCCTCCTTCAATTCGACCAATCAGCACACAACTTACTCTTGGTGGAAGCATGCCAAAATGTACAAAAACTCTTGTTACCGCACATACTGCTAGACGGGAGAGTAATGCCATTTTCACGGGGAACACTTGTCAATGTCACATGCTGTCCGTTAAGGTAAGATCCTTATTTTCCTATGCACCAGATGCAAGCCACTCTGGCTCACTTGCTTCTACAGGCTGTTCATCACAAAGAGCAATAATAATTATTGGATTTTCCTGAAAAAAATTGTTTTAAGAGAAAGATTTTATAAATTACAACTGAAAGTAAGTTGGCTGCTTGGTCAATGAATGCTGAATGTTTCCTTATAAGGAAATGGCTTAAATTATCATTACCCTTTCCACTATAGAACAAACTGAAAGATAGTAAATTTTAATATCAATGAATATAAAAGTGACAGTTGTACCAGTCATCATCAGGGCACTTTCAAAACAGACCTGTAAAGATTAGAATTGAAAATCTGAGAAAGAATAGAAATCATCCAGATTACAACATTGCTGAAAATCCTGAGGAGAGTCTTGGTGTTTTCAGGTAGGAGAGAGATGCTGTCATTTAATCCTTATCAGGTGACACCCGATATTAATGGTAGGAAAACTTAAGCAAACAATATCATCTAACAAAACTGTACTGTTACCCACATTCCAACCAATCTACATAGATTAATTTTATTCTAACTTGGTCGTCAGAATTTGTCCACTTCAAAAACCTTTCCAATCCTGAATCAATGACTTATTTTACTCCAAAGTTCTTTTTCTGCAAATTAAGTCCATGTTAATGAGTGGCGTATTCTGTTGAGGCTTTGGTCTTGTCAACAATTAAATAGATAAGACCAGTTGCATACACTAGTGGATAAATGAAACAAAGAAAAAAGAAAACATGAAAATAAGATGCAGAATAGAAACAATAAAAAGAAGACAAAAAGCAAACAAACACAAAAATGACACACACAAAAAACAAACACCAAAATAGTAAAAAAAAAAAAAAAAAAAAAATCAACACTAAAAACAAAAACATACATCCCCACAAAAATGAATTATTAATAGATTTGTTTTTGATATCTTATCAATCCCTTGCAGGTTATTTAAATTCAGAAAATATTTTTAGATTGTAAGAATGTTTTGGTGAGTGGGGGAAGATAATAATTTAGTGATACAAGTCTTATTAATTAACCCATAGCTGAGGAGAAGAGGTGGATTCATACTTTTCCCAAGTGCATAAGTGAATATAACAAACCCAACTGGAATTGGAACTGCTCTCCATTTAACAATTCAGAACCATTATCCATTATACCCCCTGCACTTCAAAGCTAACACCACCTGGCATTCCAAAATGGTCACTAATCTAGATACTGATCAGAAAGACTGTTCCCCACTCTGAAGAGAATTCCATGTCTTTGGCCAGCACTCATTAAATATAGACAGATACTAAATCATTAAATTTGTTGGTATTTTTCCTCAAGTCTTTCCATGTCAATTTTGCTTATTTTTGAAATTCAAACTTTATTTTCCTCAAAACCAAAAAAATAACAAAATTCAAAAAACAAAACTTGTTTTGAAATTAGTGAAATCTAATTTTTTAAAAAAATGATATAAAGTTAAAAAAAAAAATACAGTGTTCATATGAAAATGGCTTATGAAAGCCAAAAGTATTCTGAAGCCATTGGATAATTTACATTAAAATTCTTGCAAGAAAATGGCAAAAATGGTCCAAATTATAGAAAAATTAAAATTGATAAAAAAAAAACTTAAGCAAAATCTTTTATTGGTCTTTAACCAAAGACGCACATACACGTTCATCCTCGTATTATATGTAACGTTGATATATCTGATGGCCTAAGGCTTATCTGGAAATAATTGAACAGAAGTCCCCATGTTCTCCAATAATTCTATAAGACTAATTAGCCAATATAAATGAAGAGGAGTGGTTTATATAACCTTATCTAGTTAAGGTATCAAAAATACTAAACCATGTTAATTTTACTGAAATTGATAGAAGCACCAAAAAGCAGAACCAGTTGAAAACAGATCAGTTTCCCTAAGGTGGCATTTCTTCTTTCTGAAAACTTCGACATTTATTCTTAATGTTTGGATTTTCACTAATGAACCAATTTTGCTGGTTTCTTTCATTATTTCTCTTATTCTCTTCCTTTCTTACCAACTGAATTTTAAAAAAATTCCTTTTATATTAAAAAAAACAAAAAAAAAAAAAAATGATATAACTAAAAAATAAAGTACAACACCAAATATGACAGACTAGTTGTTTCAAGACTATTTGGGATTTTAAATGAGAGCTGCATTATCCCACTCTTCTCAGTGGGGAAATAAAACAATCCAAGAAAAGTGCAAGTTTTGATGATTATATTTAATGAGAAAAATGAGCAAATATTGTGAAACAAATTTCCATTTGAAATGCAATCAATAAAACAGAAGGTGCGTTGTGGAGTCATTTCACAGTGGCGGCTTGTATTTGTACTAAGTCGGTCCTAAAATAGGTTCGATGTACAAAATGTTACATAGAGTAATCTAGTTGTGGTCGCTGATACTTCAGTATTCGACTAACTGTCGTCCGGCATCGACTCACTCACCGACTGACTGACTTATTACTCTTACTTATTATAGGTGTGAGAGTATATTAACTATAGAATAGGTGTGTTCCACTATAACAAGGTGGCTTTCAAAAGAAATTATAAGAATTGGAGTTATCTAAATAGTTGGGTTTTTTTTTCTCTCTTTGGAGAAAAAAAATGGATCCGCACAAAGCATGTGGGCCTGATGGTATCCCTGTAATAGTACTTAAGAAGTGTGCTACTAAACTGGTCTCCCTTCTCTCTAAACTGTACATTAAATAACTCACAGAATCTTGCTTTACTACATGATAGAAATTTTTATCTGTTGGACCATCCAACCCGTCCAACTCTCTGCCTTCTACCTCATTTTGAGAAACAACTGGATGCCCTAATCAATATTGAATAAGCATCTTTCAGACAAGCAATAAGGTTTTCGTTTCTGTTGTACTGACAATAATTGTGAAAAGAGTGTATCAAGTTCTAGATAAGAATGGTGAAGCTTAGGATGTTGCTTTGGACATCTCAAAAGCTTTCAACAGGGTTTGGCATGCAGGTTTTCACAAAAATTAAAAGTTACTGTGTCTGTCCAAATTTTAAAATTGATCTGGTTTTTCTTATCAAATTATACAATGAAAGTTATCCTGAATGCCCACTCTGAGATCTTTTTGTACTAATGAAGGTGTCCCCAAGGGCTCTATCCTTGGTCTTTGTTTTTAATTTATCTAAACAACCTTCTCAATGGCATCAGCTCTCAACTTGGTATGTATGCAAACGACAACCCTTTGCTCCTGTCTGAACAGTCCGATTTCTGGGACACAAGGCAGACTTGGAGAATTTTAAACTCACAGGATATATTGAAAGCAAGAGCAGGGGAAAACAGCAAGTAACCTGCCTAAGAGCTAATGTAAATGGATGGCAGGACAGAGTGGGAAGCATAGTTAAAAAAAAAAAAAAAAAAAAAACATTTCTAAGAGCTACAAAAAATAGGAAGTTGTGGAGTGCCATGGTACTTAAAAGATCATCTGAGATCCAGGATTATGTGGGAATATGACAGTAAATAGGATTGAAAAAGTGAAACAACAAGAAAAAAAAAGTCAAACATTCTTCAGGACATGGGTGATCACGACTCCAAAACTTCCTATCCATTGTAGCTCTTAGCAGGTTTTCTGCCTTTGCTAAGACTCCCACCCTCATTCCACCATCCATTCACAAAAGTTCATTAGATAAAGGCAACAAGTCACTTACCTAGTTCAATTGTCCTCAAGATGACCTGTGAGTGTTAAGTTTCCCAAGCCCTCCTTCATTATTATGTGTCCAAGAAATTTCATATGTTTCATTCTGATTTTGAATAGAAGTGTTCTTTTTGTTGCCATTTTCTTCAAGACTCATTGCTTACTCACTCCAAACCGGGAATTTTCAGTATCTTTCTGTAGAACCAGTTTTGTTTCTTCCAGTTTTCTCATGCATGGAAATATTGTACAGTATTAATTAAAAGAAAATAAATAATATTACATATAACACATATACAACAAGAATAACTCAATATAATGAAAATTGGGATTCTTCTCCAGTCATAAAAGTGGATAAAGAAAGCTTCAGTTATTTTGAACTTGTTTCTTCAAATTATTATGTGTTTTTCTTTTTTTGGTTTTCCCTTAACCATTCCAAGCACATGAGGCATGAATTTTGTAGAAATGCATTTCATTTTCAAATTTTAGCAGAGTTGCTAGCATAAACTTCAAGACCAGTCAACTCAGATAACTCATCAATAACAATCTTTCTTCATTGAGTTGCAAATGTTTACAAGATGTCATTTTCAGTTTGTTGAAAGTTGGCTGTCAAGTGACATTTCACCACATCTGAAAAGTGAAGACCCATTGTACACATGTGCATAACCTGAAGCTTTTCCTTAAAAGCTTCTAGAAACATTAAAAGATTCAGCAGCAACTCATATGCTTAGAGAGGGGAGACACAGAGAGAGAGAGAGAGAGAGGGGATGGAAGGGAAAGAAAGAGCGGGAGAGAGAAACAGAGTTGATTAATTTGTTTTTTTTTTTACAACTTATCAACCTTTTGCAGGTTATTTATAAAGTTAGAAAATATATTTAGATTGTAAGAATTTTGCAGGGATAATGATTTACTGAAACTTCTACTGATTAACCTAAAGATTGAGGGGGGGTAAGAGATGGATTCATGACTTTCCTAGAATATTTGCTCACAAGTGAATACAAAAGATCTGAATGGAATTGGAATTCAGCTTTCAGAGAGACGTAGAGAGAGAGAGAGACGTAGAGAGAGAGAGAGACGTAGAGAGAGAGAGAGACGTAGAGAGAGAGAGAGACGTAGAGAGAGAGAAATACACAGGGGAGACGAAGAGAGAGAGAGAGAAATACAGGGGAGACTAAGAAGAGAGAGAGAGAGAAATACATACAGGGAGACGAAGAGAGAGAGAGAGAAAATACATACAGGGAGACATAGAGAGAGAGAGAGAGAGAGAAATACATACAGGGAGACGGAAGAGAGAGAGAGAGAAATACATACAGGGAGACGAAGAGAGAGAGAGAGAAATACATACAGGGAGACGAAGAGAGAGAGAGAGAAATACATACAGGGAGACGAAGAGAGAGAGAGAGAAATACATACAGGGAGACGAAGAGAGAGAGAGAGAAATACATACAGGGAGACGAAGAGAGAGAGAGAGAGAAATACATACAGGGAGACGAAGAGAGAGAGAGAGAGAAATACATACAGGGAGACGAAGAGAGAGAGAGAGAAATACATACAGGGAGAGAGAGAAATAAGAGAGAGAGAGAGAAAATACATACAGGGGAGACGAAGAGAGAGAGAGAGAAATACATACAGGGAGACGAAGAGAGAGAGAGATAAATACATACAGGGAGACGAAGAGAGAGAGAGATAAATACATACAGGGAGACGAAGAGAGAGAGAGATAAATACATACAGGGAGACGAAGAGAGAGAGAGATAAATACATACAGGGAGACGAAGAGAGAGAGAGAAAGACATACAGGGGAGACGAAGAGAGAGAGAGAAGAAACATACAGGGAGACGAAGAGAGAGAGAGAGAAAATACATACAGGAGACGAAGAGAGAGAGAGAGAAATACAGGGGAGACAGGAGAGAGAAAGAGAGAGAGAGAAAATACATACAGGGAGACGAAGAGAGAGAGAGAAAAAAGGCGACAGGGAGAAATAAGAGAGAGAGAAAGAGGGAGACATACAGGAAGAGAGATAAATACATACAGGGAGACGAAGAGAGAGAAATACATACAGGGGAGACGAAGAGAGAGAGAAAGACATACAGGGAGACGAAGAGAGAGAGATAAATAAATACATACAGGGAGACGAAGAGAGAGAGAGATAAATACATACAGGGAGACGAAGAGAGAGATGTCAGAGCAGATAAATTGGTCAATCTAGAACCGTGTTATATTGCAGACCATCTCAATAGTGTTTACTCCACTTGTTTCACCTAGCTGCACAATTTGTAAGTAGATCTAAGCTTTTATGCAACACTTCAATTTTGATTTTGGAGTGTTATCCCCCCTTCCTTTAATTTTTATCGTTTGATTTTTTTCTTTTTAAACCATTTTATACGAGCAACCATTTGATATTTATCTCTTGTATGCAATCTTCAATCACCTGACCTGTTCCCCATCCTTGCCAAGCAGAGAAAATGAAGTCTAGTAAATAAGCCATTCATTTATTCATGAATAAAAGATTTTGATGCACCAACCAGTGTCCAACTAAAAAGAGAAAGATTCGAGCATGGGAAGATGGGGCGAGGGTAGGTAAATGGGTGTTCTTTATAATTTCAACCTCCCAGCCACTCAATCACCAATCAGCTATAGAAGTGATCAATCAAGTCAGAAATACAAAAGAGATCATGTTCATGAAGAGACCAGAGAAAAGATTCATTGTCTTCTATCTTAATTATGGTCTCAACTCAGGATTGCAATGTTTAATGCACTGTTTTATTCTCAGGTGAAAATAAAATCATAATATTTCCCACCTTCCAACTTTAGTTACCTGGTCAAGCATTTTTTCTATTTTCAGTTAAAACAAAGACAATAAGAACTGTCCTATTACCATTAACAAATTATTCGTATTATTGATTCCATAAACAAAGGACAATTTTTACTGTGAGATTATATATTTTATGGACATGTGACCAAGTGATTAGAATGCTAGTGTTTCAACCATGAGACCCAGGTTTGAACATCAATATGGTCAATTTGTCAAGGTGACTTGATAATATCCCAGAATGCAGCGATTGAAAAGTATTCTATCAGTTGACCAAATTTCAGGGAGTGAAATTGGGTATACAAAATGCTCAGAAGCCATCACGGGTTGTGCTAGCAAGTCATCATGACTGAGAGTTTGAACATACTGGACTTGTTTAACTACATATTATGCCAGATTATATACTCTCCCAAAAACTAATTAGGGTCCTCTTAACATAGTTGCAGGTTGACACTGTGAGTGTTGAAAAAAATAAATGTGACTGAGCAGGCATCAACAACAGAGACTGGTTAGCCATTCTAATAGCCAGTCATTACTATGTATATATGTTCATTTAATAAGTCAGTTAATGAAATTCATAGAATAAAAGACAACAAAATGATATATATATATATATATATATATATATATATATATATATATATATATATATCAGCCTTTTGACTAATCTGAAACAAGGGAAAGATTTTAAAACTGGAATTTTCGAACATGCCTGTGTCCAATGAGATGAGAAATAAATAATAAAGTGGGACTTGCTCATTGTGGGAAATGTTTTTGTGTCCATCCCCCCACCCCTCATGCATTGTATTACTGTAAGAAATTAGATTGTTTTGACCTAGTAGTTTCTCACGATTAGATTTGTGGAGGGTCTGTAGAAGGCTCTCTGTAGAAGCTTTTCTGAATAAGCCTAAATTCTTGTTTACTCCTTTAATATGTGATTCTATTTCAAAATGTATTTTAACTCTGATTTACATTGTTCTTGTTTCATATATATATATATATATATATATATATATATATATATATATATATATATTTATTATATCATTATTATTTGTTATATATATATATATATATATTAAATCATTATTATTTGTTTATATATTTTATTAAATATAATAGACAATGAATGTCTTATGTCTGATCATGCACCGTTCTAATGTTTGCTTTAATTTCTGGTGAAAATAAAGATAAAAATTGTCCAACATTTGGATATTTGTTTTTATTAAGTTGGTCCTAAGCTTTTGCTCACATGAGCCATCATCAGAGTGGTTATACAGACATGAAACAAAGATATCTATAATCAAAGATGATATTTTGACGTAGAAAATTTCTATGCGATGACAACGGTCACAGAATAGCAGACACAGATCGTAAATTCAAGATGCGGTTCTATGACATCGTACCAAATGATGTCATGAAGTATTACAACAGAATAGTTGGTAAACTGATAGATTAATGAAGTTGTCGTTGATGTTTGGTAAAAGTATTTTTCCTAGAAAAACCACAAGCATTAACTTATGTTTTCTTAATTACAATAGTGAATGCCTCCCACAATATAAGTTAGCTGTTATAAAATCTTAATCCAACGCACACAAATATCTTCTTCCAAAGCCACTTTCTATAAAGAATTACATAACATTAAAAACTCATTAATAATGGATTTCCTAAATTTGCCATTGATCAACAAATTAAAATGTATCTCAATAAACTTAATACCTCTAACAAAATTGAAAATAATAATAATATTGTACATCAAAATAAACATAACACTATTAACTTATACTATTGTAACCAAATGCATAATAATTACAAACATGATGAAACAACAAAAACATAATAGGTAGAATGTTAAACCCATTAATAATAATAAAGTCAATCTCATTATATATTATAAAAAATTTTAAACAATTGACCTCAGTCTCTAATAACCCTACAACCACATAACTAAATCCTCTAGAAAACCCAATGTAGCATATCAATTTACATGCCCGTTCACAGATTGTATCTCTGATGCTAATAATAAACCCGCCATATATATTGGTTTTACTACGACAACACTCTCCCATAGACCTGTCACCTTTCTGATCTTAGTTCTTAGAAAAACACAGCCATGTATGTAATATTAGACAGATATTAGTTGATAACACGATAATACTCCTGCATACACACAATAAAAAAAGAACCTTCAGGCATTGGAGGCCATCTACATTAAAACAAAGCCACCTCTGCTCAACAAAATAACATTGCAAACTAGTCACAACACATTACATTGCATGTAGACATTGGTTCTGTTGTAATACTTCAGTATATCGCATGATATGACATCACAGAACCACATCTTAAACTTATGATCTGCATCTGCTATTCAGTGATCGTTATCATTGTATAGCAATTTTCTATTTCAAAATAACAAAATATCATCTTTGATGATGGATATCTTTGTTTCATGTCTGTATAACTGCTCTGAGGATGGCTCATGTGAGCCGAAAGCTTAGAACCAACAAAATAAAAACAAATATCCAAATGTTGGACAATTTTTATCTTTATTTTCACCAGAAATTAAAGCAAACATTCGAATGGCTCATGATCAGACATAATAGACATTCATTGTGTTATATTTTTAATAATAAATGTTTAAATAATGATCTGCTGCCCCAATACACTATATATATATATATATATATATATATATATATATATATATATGTGTGTGTGTATTTTTGTCCCTCATAATTTCACACAACTGAGTTTCTTGCATGTAGAAATTGTCAGGCACAACTTGAAAATTTTAGCTCTGCTATTTTACACACACAGACATACACGCACATTATCAAAAGTGGCGTAACTATGGTCAGATATTTGGTCAGAGATCGAGTAATTCCATTTACTGTTTAGTGAGTTGGTAATCCAAATAATAAATTTGTCAGCAGAATTAGGCAGATATATTTTTGTCTTTGTATAAATTATTCAGTTTTTTATTAATTATTATTTTATGTTTGATATGTTCCTTAGGATTTGAGATTTACTTGTTATTTTTAGAAATAGAAGACTTCATTTTTGTCATCATTTTATTCCTTCTATTTGGAGATATTTGATCTGATCCTTTGATGTTTTGGTCTCTATGAAATTTTATTGTGACCTTGTTTGCATTCTTGTTTGCCACAGGATCATATAATTTAAATAAGGTGTATTTTGGTAGTAATAATATTTTTTTTTTTTAAACAGGTTTGGTTGAATAATACTGACAAGTCCTATCTAGCAAATTTTCCATTAACTTTTACAAATTTCGAAATTAGCTGTTTTATGTTATTGGTAAATTTGCCAAAGTTCATATTTATTTGTATTTTATATTAGAAGGTTACTACATTCATTTTCAAGGATTGTGTTTTATGTATGTAACTGTTTTTTCTTAGTTTCTGAGATGAAGTATTATGTACACTATTTACTTTATTCGAACTATTGTTCTCATCTTTGTTGCCATATTTCGCTTCAGCTGTTGTATGATGTATGCTCCAGCCTTCTTCAGGTGGTTGGAATGTCAAACTGAACCCTTTATTTCACTCGCTGGGGTAGGCTGTTCTAGTTCCACATGCCATGTTTAATGAATGTCAGTTCTCAGTTATCTCCTGTTAATTTCCCTCTGAAAGTTCTCCACTGCTTAACCGGGTAATGAACTCACACTCTTTGGGTACTGTCACTGGATCTAACTAATACCTTTATCCACTGTGCCATGTGCCATGTGTCCTTGAGGACATCTGCGTGTGAATTTTTGGGTATTATAAATCTAATGTCTTCAGTAACCATTTTTTACCAGTACTCACATTTCAATTTTTGCTGTTATCATTGCATGTTTTTTTTACCAGAGCTCATATTGCAATTTTTGTTATTATTGCTTTTCTCTGGCACTCCTTATTACTGGTTCCCATATTGTATTCATTTCTATGCTTGGTCGGCTCGAGATATTTGTGGCCTAGTATATGTGCTGATTCCTTAAGTTTACAAATTTTTCAATGATGTTCTTTGTCTATGATCTCAACCTAATCCCACAGAGGGCAGTGATCTCCCTTTCCTCTCCATATATGGTCAGCCACGCCAGATTTTTCCACTTTCCATCATGTTTCAGCTTTCTGGTGTTCTTGAAGCCTTACCTTAAGAGGGCAGCCTGTTTCCCCTTTACATTTCTTTCCGCAGCTGCACAGGATGGCGTACACACAGTCTTTAATCATGTTCTCTATAGGGGTCT